AGTGTGTTTTGTTCAACACACCTCCCCCATAGTTTTTCAGTCACATTTTTTGTTTTACATTGTGAAAGTGGTTGTGTGGGTTTTGTATGTGGTTTTTGTGTTTTTCCTCCCTTAAAATGGCTGAATTGTCTCTGAAGAGCTGACTGCTACAAGGATGTGATAGATGCTAACCTGTGCACATCATTTGAATGTTTGTTTTCTGTCCTGCAAAGAACTTGGGTCAGAAGAACAGCACAGTGTTTTCTCAGCATTTTCTGCTGAGTGAGGAGAAACGTTGTTTTGGCCTATGTTTATTTGCTCTTTTCCCTTCAGACAGTCTGCAACAAGGAGGAGGATGAGCTTCTCTATAAATGCTTTGGTACAATAAAGCGAGCAATAGGTTGACCACTATAATGGTATGTTTTGGAGTGTCTTCAGTAACACATCACATCACGGAGTTATGTAACCTTAACTGGTGGACTGGGGACTGGGGCCTACATTCAGATCCTTTTCACCCATTTCATATGGTGTTCTGTTGGAGCATAAAATAGAACTGCATTCAGTGTTTCTTTTGCATGTAAATCAGTGTCCTCTACACTTGAATAAATAAAACAAGCAAATGCTGTTTCTTTACATGAGATGTGATGTTTGAGTAAAGGGAAATTTCACCTCCCTGCTTCGCAATGTAGATGTCATCGTTACAGAAAGCAAAGCATCAGTGCAGTTTAGTGTTGCTGCCTATCAAACTGAAGAAATACTTCATGCCAAGCCTGGGATTCTCTACAGAGGCCTAAATCCAGCATATACATGCATCATTAACCACTGCTATCATGAATACTCTACTGCCGCAACTGTCAGTGAGTTTATTCTTGCCATCACCCATTTTTGAGGTTGCAGGAATTGCCCTGAACCAAATTTAAAAGGGAACTGTTGTACATCTCAAGTTGCATCATCAAAATGTGAAATCTTCCACTACACTGGTTACAATATTTTATTCAGCAGCAGGGAGAACCAAGCATAGCCGAGCAACTTATGTCATGTTCATGGCATCAGGATTGTTGCTCATAACTTTGAGAAGGATAAAAGTATTCTACTGACAATGCTTAACTTGATGCTTATATTGAGAGAGGTGGAAAGAGGCATAAACCTACACTGATTGATAATCCCTATTTCATCCTTCCAGTTTACTTTCATCTCTTTGAAAGTGCTATATGAACACTGCATTTTTATTTTTTTCTTTAAATTACTGATGATAGCTGTTTTCTATTTCCTGCCTTAAGTGTTCTCTTCTTCTGCTGTTCCAGGCTCCACCAGTCATTGTTCCCACAATTGCCTTTACATAATCCCCATTCCTTTCTCACCTCTAAGATTCATATTCAAGTTGAATTTTTACAGGGAATTTTGCTTTGAGACCAAAGTCGTTTTGTGCATATATTTCTTGCCAGCCTCTCCCTCCAAAGTCTGTAGGTTTTTAAACTCAGTCTTCTGGAAGGATGTGACACACCACAGGCAATCATAATTTTCTTTTAATAAAGTTATTTGTCAGTGAATTAAAATTCAGAACTGTAAGTTTTCAGTTAATTAAATAAGAAAAAATGACCAAAAAGTGCAACAGGCCCTGTTTTTCATTATTAAGTTCAATTTATTTCACACTGCATTTTCAGCTTTCAGATTTTCTTCATTAACAATAAAATCTAAAAACAAGAGTGAAAGAAAATGTGATCAGTTAACCATGGAAAGCTAAAATCTTGCAGTTTAGTTCTCTATAAACCAAACATTATTGAATTTTCAAGTAATGGTCTCATAGTCTCAAGTAGCTGGAAATTAAACAATTGGTGCTTTGTTTATGCACATTACTTCTGATCTAATTGCTTTTGCTATAAATGATTATACCTATTCCTTATTTAGCATGCCCAGTGCATCCACTTAGACGTGCATAATTCATTTCGTTCTTACTTCAGGATAGATGAAAACACTGTACTGAAGCAGGAAGTTAGGACTAAGAATATGTAATACTTGTGTACATGCTACTTAGACTAATGTCCATCTGGTTCAAAACAATCTGTGAGAGCAGAGTGTAGAAGCAGACTAAACTGCATGTGCTTCCTCCTGCTGCCACTGAGTATGCCCTATAATCGTGCAGATATTCTGCACTTCAGGGTAGCAGCAAATAGTAAGCCTGTGCACTGAGTTGTGTATTCCACCCCAGAGCATGCTTTCTTGCATGCTCATGCATGCCCAATTGCTTTGGCTTATTTTCTTTACAGAAAATGCATATGCCACTACTGAAGTGATAGAAAATAGTCTCTTTTTTAAAGTAAGGGGTAAGGGAAAGGAATAATGCTTAATGGCTGCAATTGGGCAGCAAAACATTGTATGTAAATTTACACATTTTGACTTTTTGTGTAGACAGATGGTCGGTTAAGTCGAACCTAGATATTTCCTCCCATGATGATTTTGTAAAGCAGTGTAGCAGATTGTCAGAAAGTACACTGTTCTAATGGGACAGATTTATTGACCTCTGGGTTGTTGTAGTGGTGCTAAAACTGCGAATCGTAGCTCAGTGCTGGATCCTGGTGGATCAACGTATGCAAGTAGCTGCAGTCACACAGATTGCATTCCTGGGTGACTCTGCCTGTGAAGAATAGTAATTTCTGGCTTCTTAATCTCCCTTCTCTTAGACCAGATGTCTGAAAATAATGAAGATAAGCCCACGGCTGCATTTAGTTCTCTGAATTATAGGGCACAACTTTTAAAGTCCTATGAACTCAGTGGCTCTATCCAGCTGCCTCCTCCCCTTCTTCCCCAGCAAGATAACGTTTCTACACTTGGTTCCATTTCTGTCTCAGTAATAGTGCTCACCAGCTCTGAGTGGTTGAACTACCTTCTATTTCTTCTTTGGCAGCCTCCTTTCTCCAACATATAATCAGGTTGCTATTTGCTCTAAGAAACAACTTGATATGCACTTCTGCAGTGAGGCTGGGAAAACAGTGCTTTCCAAAGTCTGTCAGTCAGGTAACAGAAGCAAAGGTACTTTTTGTAACTGAGAAGCTATAACATCTACCTTGACAAGACTGACTCAGTGCATTAACTTGAAATTTCAACCTCACTCCAGATCACTGTATTGTGTCAGCTTCAGGCTTCGGAATTTAGCTTTGGAACATACTTGTTTCTGAAGCTACATTTAAACTAAAGAAGTAAAGTTATTTTAAAAGAAAGCTTAGACTAAATTCCTAGGAAGGAACAGGTTATGTTTCTAAGCACTCTCCAAGTCATTGGTATTTTAGTAAGAAAGCAGCGTGAATGAAAGCTGACTTACTGATCTCTGTCGTCACTTAAAAGTCAGTGCTCAGGCATTCATTTAGAAGACTGAATACATTTTTCACTAGAGCTGTACAGGTTTTGACATTGACAGTTAATAGGGATGCTCTATGGGCCAGAAAATATAACTGGTGAAAGTGTCAGGTCCTGATCCTGCTTTCAATGAAGCTAGAGGAATTTTAACCATCACTTTTTTATAGAAGACTAGAAGCAGAAAGAATTGCTGTTCAAATGCATCTAGTGGTTGTATATCTGCATGTTGCAGATTTACTCACAATATTTTGAATATATTTTAAAAAGACAGTCTCTCATTTTTAGGGCATTGTTGTATTTTAGGCTCTCCATAACTAATTTCTATTTATTCAGCAGATCAAAAAAACTAGCTTGCAGGTATCAAAAAGATGCATGTTTTCTCAGATATAAGAGTTTTCTCACTTTAGTTTTATGCAAATAGTTTATTATTAATGCTTTTTAAAAGATCGCAGGAAGTACATAGACTTTTTTTTCTTTTACTCTTTTTTTCTGTATGGTTAATAGATTTTTTTTTTTCCTTTCTGTATGGTTAATACCAGACATTTATTTTTTTTTGCTTTCATTTGTAAATACTTTAAACTCACTCTACAGAATGGAGAAATGGACTATAATTATTTAAATGTATACATGAAGATAATAAGAATTGGGATCCTCATTTTTAGTCACTTGCATCACTTTAATGGATCTCTAACATGAAAATTTTATTTTCTAAAATGCCACTACCAGCACTTCTTGCCATTTGTCATCTTGGAAAAACATTTAACTTCTAACTTAAGTTCTCACTTCATATTTTTAAATTACCTTATATTTAAAAAGGCTCCTTCTATGTCTCAGCAGATTTAGGCAGTTTCATGCTTTTGACTCAATAATATTCTTATAGGCAGTTATACTACAGATGTTTTGGTAAAATCACATATGGGATTCTAAAAAAAATGACAAGTTGAGTTAGTATCACCCTGGGCACAAAGTTGTGCCTACATGCATGTTCCTGTGAAATGTATTCTGTGGTAATGTTTTTGCATTCTGCATAAATTCGGTGCTAGTCAAATGTCTTTTGTAGTTGAAAATAAACCATGACTGCACCCTTTGATGATGATGGCAATGATAATCAAAATAGAAATACGCTAAACAAAGTATTTAGGACACTGAGATATCCCAGAAAAGAAAGGCATGATTAATAGAGAGCCTTATGTTTGAAGTGTGAGATTATTTATTAAAAAAAAAAAGAAAAAGCCTTTCTTGATCTGACGTTTGAACGATGTCATCATGCTGCCGTAATGATATAATAAGAATGGAAGTGTCTTGTGTTTATAGTATTCAGTAGAAAAGATGGTTTTACCAGTGACTTTTGTGTTGGTGAAATACTCTGTGCAAAATTCCCCCGCAAATTAGCCTTTATTTTATATCTTCCATCTTGGATTGCAATAGTGGGACTTTCTTTTGTTTTCTTTTACTTTTAAACACTTATATTTAGTTTAAAGAGACAAAAATCTTTAATTACCATCAGGCCAAAGAATGGTTAAACTTAATTGAAGAATAAGTTTAATAAAGTTTAATAAAAGCTATATTACCTAATCAAATAATTTAGTATTGTGCATTCGTACTGTTGTACTAGCTATAAAAATCTGAAACAGCTTATAACATCATATGGTTATATAGGTACTTACCATTTTAAAAGTAGCATTGAGTGGAATCTGTAGAATGTCCCCACGATGTAATCAATAACTGATTAAAGTGATGAGTCTTTATGGTATTATTCTGAAGTGCAAAATCTGAAATTACAGGAAATGTACTGGCAGTTATATATTTTGTTGAAAGAGGGATTGCTCAGACATATTAACAACAAAATCGATGCCTGTTGCCTTCTACAGAGTACAAGGACAATGATTTATCCTGAAAACATCCTTCAGCTGAGTAACTAGGTAACTTATACTGCCCTGCATGCATGTGTTAGGCTCCATTTCATGAAGCAGGATTCCACGGCAGTGATTGAAGTAAACAGATGGAGTAAGAGAAGGACAGATGGATACCAAAAAATTATAGCCACCTTTTTTTTTTTTTTTGGTACCTCTGCATTAACTGCAATAAATTGATTTATTTTCATTTAGTGAAATAGGAAAATTATAGATTATGAAGCCAAAGCACTACGGAGTCCAAAACCATTCAGTTTTGAAAGCATGTGTTTGTAGTGATTAGTAAGAGTTCCAGATGGGTTTCATCGAAGAGTCGATTTTCTGTAGACAAGATTCTTACTACCTACTCCAGTCCTTTTTTTTCTTTTTTTTCTGTTAGGGAGATATTAACTTCTTTCTTATTCAACAGGGGAAAGATTATTTGGTTATTCTGCCATACTGGAAAGCTGTGAAGTATTTCTTGTGAAACAGGCTGCTGATTTGAGTTTGCACATGCAAGGGGGCTGCTGCTGCACCACGAGGGCTTTGCACAGCCTGGGATGGAATTGAACGTGGAGAGGCAAAAGTAAGGCTAAGAGTCAAGGAGGCCCCTTTTCTTCCTGCAGCAGCTCTAGATTTCACGATTAGAAAATCAAAACAGATCTATTATATATATACTAGGAGTCCTTATCTGCTGTGTGGCACAGCTGCTCTGTCCCATACTTGACCTTGACTTAATTTGATCTTCCCCGTGGTTAAATAGGAAGTTCAGCTGTGAGCCAAATCATTTCTCAACACCTCTCATTCTACCAGTAACTGCCAGCTTGTTGCTGATGCTGTTGGATTTTTATATGAGCGTCAGTCCATTAGAAATTGGATGGTGACCATCCAGGCAATTTGCATTTATTGCAGAATGTCTTGCAATTAGTACACTTTCAAAATTGTAGAATGCAAGTAGAAATCATCCTTGTATTCATAATGTTTGAGATGTGAAGAAATATAGTCAAAGAACATAATTATTCTCATGCTTGTAAAAATTTTTATCAGAAGGTTTTCTTGCATAAAGGCAATCCAAGTGTAGCTTAGTAGCTATATAGTATTATTTATATGTATTTATATACATAGCATGTATTTATATATGTAGTAGTATTTTAAACAGATAGGAGATAAACTACGTGGCTTTCTTAAATCATCTAAAAGAGATAATTTAAAATCTTAACTGGGGTTAAAAGTGATGAATTCTTTCTCTTGTTTTCATAGTTTAGAGATGGAAAGGAATAATAGCTTAATCATTTTGAAAGCATAGAATTACTTTGGAAATTAAATTTGGACTGGAATTTAGTATTAATTTATTGGAATTTAATATTGAAAACAAATTTGCGACAGTCGAACAGACACTCTCTTAAATCCTTCTTATCGGTAATGGCCCTAATATATAACCCTTCAGCCTACTGAGACCTGCTAGAGCATTGTCATACTAGTGCAGAACAGTAATTATTTTGAAGATGACCAAGGAAATGGAAAAGGCCATACGTACTGCTGTCAGTACTTATCAGCAGTAAGTGTAAGTGATGTGCAGCTTGGTTTATATATTTGATTTGTATTCAGCCTAGACTTACACTGCCCTTTCTCAAACTGCTTGATCACTTCTAATTCCACAGAGGAATGTTTTTAGAAAGGACTGCAATCTTGTACAAGCTTCTCAACAATCACTAAATTTGAGCTTCTTGCCCTGATGTGGAGAGAGAAAGGCTGTGTATCTACTGCTGAAAAGAGGGCTTTGTTAAAATCTGGTAGTCCTCAGCTATTATGCACTAAAGGCTGTTACCCAAGTGCTAAAACTTGTCTGAGCTACAAGAAAGAACAAATCTCTATAAAGTGGTCAAAATTCAAGTGCTTGATCTTATTTCTACAAACAATGGCACGCTAGTTTAAATGCTTTCTTGAGCTATCCTCCCTGTATACTTGGTTCCTCTGCTCTGAGATAGAGTCCACACACATTAACTCATTAATGTAATACGAGATCATTGTGAAACAGCTGTGGGACATGCTTGTCAACAGAAAGGTCACCGTCTTCTGTACAATTACAAATGGGAATAAATGCTCAGTACATTCACTGCTTTTGGAGCATCTGTCAGGAGCTGAGTATCCAGCAATCTTCCTCTTTAGGAAATTGCTCTTGCCAAGGAATTGTTTCTTTTTGTATTTTTGTCAGCCAGCCGATCATTTACGAATGAGCTGAGCTTCATTATCTGAGCTGCAAGTTAAAACAGATGCATTCTCCATATATATGCAATATGTATGAAGTATCCCAGTGTGTTAGTTCAGGCACAAAGATCGACTAAACAGCAATCTCTATTCTGTATATGAACATAAAATATTAAGCTTAAGCTATAGGTATTATTTTGGATAATGAAAATAACTTCAAAAATAGTTACTTCAGTTTGTTTTCATCTCAACAGTGTAACAGCTACAAACGATAGAGCAGATTATGAAGGCAATATAATAATTTGTACAATTGGTAAAAGAATACACCAGCAAGAGTTTTGTGGGCTTGGGAGTTCAGAATCCCCACCTCAACTTTGTGTGCCTTTGCCCAGGTGTGGCTGGCTGCAGAGGGTACTCTGTGTGTTGCAGCCATCCTTCCTTCTGGAGCCATGCTGTTGCCACAGTCAGAAATCCCTAATATTTTTAGTTGGAGAAAATAATTACAGAATATTAGATATTGTAGGTGATGTGTTTTCTTTTTTGAAGTTTATCTCCTTTTCATCCCAGATGAATGTAAATAGTATCTTCTTTTCACCTCATGTGTCTGTTCTTGTAGAAAAGTGCTACTGAATTGTTCTGAATAGATCTTTGCTTAATTTCAAACCTTAAATTAGTGCTTAATAAGAAAATTGGGGTCGACATTACTGATGCACTGCTAAATAGTAGATTAAAAAAGAGAAACACAGTGCTCAGTTTTACTGGTGATTGTTAAAGCCACTTCTGCTCATGTCTTTGAGATTCTCATCTTCTTTTCTCAGTTACTTAATCCAAAATCTTCCAAAAAAAAAAAAAAAAAAAAAGGAAAGTCAGGCAAGACCTTTTCCACCTGACATTAATTGTATTTATTGAAAAGGTATGTTTTTTTGGGAGGGTGGGGGCAAAAAGGAACTGGAAAACCATGACTAAAACCAGTTTATATCAGTTGGCAAGCACTGAGTGAATGCAGAGACAAGCTAAAAGAGGCGGCTAGGGTCATACAGTGGAACGTAAGCATTCAAACATAGAACATTATATATAGCAAGGTTTGTGATAAAGAGGAGAGCGAATGAATGTATGAGAGAACTTAAAAGGTAACAAAACAAAGATTATTATAAATAAATTAGAAATAAAACTGAGGAAATAGGCTAACAACAAAAAAATAAAGTAGTAGAATCAACGAACCTTAAAATGCCATAAGAGATGCAGAAGATTTTTATCCATTTATATGTGCAGGAAGAGTGCAGCACATCTGTTGCTGCTAGCTAGGCCTGAACACTGTGGATATGAGCTGCTCCATACCCGCTGCACTAGGAGTTGATGCCTGTCTCTTGCAGAGTCCGGAGAAACAGTATACATGTGGCTTTAGTTCATCTACCAATGAACTCATGTTATTGCAAGTGAGAAATCTTGTCGCCTCTATAGAAAATGAAGTTTTCAGATTTTTTTTCTGCACTGGTGAAGAAGTTTTAAAATATATATATATATTATTTAAAAATGTGTACAAAAATGCTTAATAAGTTTGTGATTAATAAGTGATTAATAAGTTATGTAATGTCCATTCTGGGGAGGGTTTAGGGTGGGAAGAGAAGGGGATAAGACAAAAAAGGGTGGCAGAATCCAAACTGATTCTCAGAACAATGAAAAGTAAATAGGATGGTAAGACTGCTGACATTCTTTGGAATATTTACCTCTAACAATTGAGTATTACTTTCCTACAAGAGAAAGGAACCAAAAAGCTTGTTGTTTTTATATGGTTAGCATAGCTTCAGTTGTTAATTAGATCATTTTAAAAATACTAAATTCTGAATTTCTGATAGTACTTCCTTCTGACTAGTGGCAGCCTTTTTACCATTAAGATAAATCACATTGTTTTCCCTTGGATACTTCTGAATTTGCTTAGAAATTGCAAAATGTTGGGTACTTGCACAGATAAGAAGAGATTAAGCAGAAGCCATTTTGTAAGTAATCACATTTTGTGATAATGTTCTGCAGAATGACTCACGATATAGCCACCTACTTAGCAGTAGGAGTGGTATGTGTAACTAAAGAACTTATTAGAATGATGAAGAGCATGTTCAAGGTACGTTGATTTCCCTCAGTCCTCTTTTACTACCCCCAGGCATTCAGCTTGCTAAAGCACTTATCTCTGCAGATGATGATGTCTGCTGTATGATTTGTTTCACGTCAGCTATCTTTCACACACATCTGTGCTATTCCTTTGCCTCCATCCAAAAGGACAAATGTAGGATCACATGTCATTGCATGTCCTTGCATATGATGACAGGCATTTTGATGTGTTCAGCTTCTGCCAAACATTTAATCAGGCCAGAGCTGTTCAGTAAGATTCACTACCTAGATTTTTAAACAAACCAAAATCAGTTATGGCCATTGTAATTCTCACTGTACTTCAAACTGAAGACTAGTAAGCTGTTGATTAAGAACAATAAATCACTGAATATGCTTAAACCTTTCCATGTTTAGAACAAAATGCTTTGTGGTTCTTATTTGCTTTATCTGTTACCATAAATTTACAACTGAATCTTAAGCATTGATTGTCCTTATGGTACTTTCATTTGGAAATGTCAGGTATTTCAGGAGAAGTTTTACTGCTAGAAAATCTTCAATTGCACCTC